AAATAAAGATCACCATTGTTTTGTATTGTATTTTTTTTGTTTTTTTTTATTATAATACAATTACATATATTCCTATTTGCTGTGCCACCTTTTAAAACCTTCCATATACCCCACCTACGCCTCTTTCTAATTCATGTCCTTGTTTTCATTCATTCTTGTTATATACATATATGTATTGATATGTACATATATCTTTTTAATATTGCATTGTTTTGTATATGATATGTCAAGCATGTTTGAATTCATCACAAAAAGTGAAAATTTTATTTAATAATTTTTTGGTTAAATTATAAGGATGTATAGAATTACATGTATAGCAAGAATGATACTAATTTACATAGTAAAATAATCTGTGGTTGGTACTATAACATATTTTAAAAAACAGAAAAATCTATTTTAATTCTAATTGACATAAAACTAGTCAATAACTTAACTGATAATAAGAGCTAAGTTATGACAGAAGAAAAGTTCACAGCAGTGCTGACGAGGAAGTGGGGAATGGAATCCTTACTACTCTGTGGGTAGGAAGATAATCTGTACTCCTATGGAGTTGCCCAGAAAGGAAATTAAAATAGATGCTGGAGAAATAGATCAGCAGTTAAGTGTGTATATTACTTTTTCAGAGGACCTGAATTTATTTTACAGAACCCAAGGGCTCATAAATGTCCCTATGTCTTGCTCCAAGAGAACTTCTGGACTCAGAGGACACATTGCATATGAATGCATACACACCCACAGACATGTACATCTGCATAATTAAACATAATGAAAAAATCTTTATAAGAAACCAACTAAAAATAGAGCTACCATGTGACTCATTACACCTGGGTATATACTTAAAGGAGTTTTTGTCAATATATCAAAAAGATATTTTTATAGCCATGGCTATATCAGCACTATTAACAATAGTCCAGATATAACACTAGTGCAAATAACTATCAACAAATAAATGGATAATAAAGATGAGCATGTAAACATGGAATGACACACCACTATAAGAAATAAATCATGTCATTTTCACAAAAATGAATTCAAATAAAAAATAACATTATATTGTGTAAAGTATGCTAGATTCAAAATGACAAATAATTGCATGTGCTCTTATGTGGACCTAAAACTAAAAGAAGATATATATATATATACACACACACACACACGTCTACAGACATATATATTATGTATACATAAATATTTTATATAAACATATATTTTATATATACATATATATATATAAAACGCAAAACAGATATTTACATTGCAATTCATAACAGTAACAAAATTACAGTTAAGAAATAGAAGTGAAAATAATTTTATGATTGGGGTCACTCCGATATAATGAACTTATTAAAGGGTCATGGCATTAGGAAAGTTGAGAACTACTGTGTATTGCGTTCTTAGAGCAAGAAGGTACTTTGCTGGCTACCCAAAGAGAAACTTAAACACCAATCAGTAATAATATCTGTGACCTACATTCTGTCCTGCTTACAAAATATGCTAAGACAATGGTGGCTCCGAACTTGTAGAAGTAGCCAACAAATGTCTGATTTAACTTAAGGCACACTTGATGACACGGAGTCCATACCTGAAACTGTTAGGGTAACCAAGAACTAGCACTTGGACAACCCAGAGACCTATAGTAAAACCACATACCACTGATCTAAAAAAAATAGTATGTAGCCCATGGGCAACTTAGTCTCCATGGAGGTTCCCTAATAAAGGGAGCAGGGGCAGTCACTGGACTTGGTTGCCTGCTCTTTAATTACAACTCCCTGGTGAAGTGGTTTAATAAGCCACAGAGAAAGAGGATCCATACATTCTTGATGAAATCTGATAGGTTAGGGTCACATAGTAAGGGAGGAGGACCTCCCCTCTCAGTGAGTGTCCAAGTAGGTTTCATAGTGACTGGAAGAGGGTCTGCCTCTGACATAAACATTACTTTCTTAAGTGATGACTCTACTAATCAAAATTGAAAAATATTATATATTACTAATTGCGAACCCTTTTACCTTTTCTGTTAGGTTATCTTTTTAAGAATACTTTCTGTTCCTAACATATCAATATTTTTCTGTTCCTAATATATAAAGAACTCAAGAAGTTAAACACTAACAAACCAAGTAATCCAATTTAAAAAAAAATAGGGTACAAATCAAAAGAGAGAATTATGAACAGAAGAATAATGAATGGCAGAGAAACACTGAAAGAAATGTTCAACATCCTTAGTCATCTGGGAAAGGTAAATCAAAGCAAGATTTCATCTTATTCCCATCAGAATGGCTATGATCAAAACTTCAAGTGTCAACACATGCTGGAGAGGTTGTGGAGATAGGGAAAACCACCTCCATTGCTGGTGGGAATGTAAACTTAACAAACCATTTTGGAAATCAATCTGGAGCTTTCTACAAAAATTAGGAGGCTCCTCCCCCTCAGGGGGGAGCAGCCTTACCAGGCCACAGAGGAAGACAATGCAGCCACTCCTGATAAGACCTGATAGACTAGGATCAGAAGGAAGGAGAGGAGGACCTTCCCTATCAGTGGACTGGGGAGGTACATGGGTGGAGAAGGGGAAGGGAGGTTAGGATTGGGAGGGGAGGAGAGAGAGAGCTACAGGAGGGATGCAAAGTGAATAAACAGTAATTAATAAAAACAAAAAAGAAAATTAAGAATAGTGCTACTTCATGATCCAGCTATACCACTCCTGAGCATAGATCCTAAAGAGGCTCAACCATGCAGAAAAAGCCATTTGCTCAACTATGTTCATATCAGCATTATACATAATAGCCAGTATCTGTAAACAACCTAGATTCCCTCTTCTGACAATGGAAACAGAAATTTTGGTACCTTTACTCAACAGAATACTACTCAGCAAATAAAAACAAGAAAATCACGAAACTCGCAGGCAAGTGGCTGAAACTAGAAAAGATCATCCTGAGTGAGGCGACCCAGAAGCAGAAAGAAACATATGGCATATACTCACTTATAAGTGGATATTAGCCATATAATATAAGATACGCTAAAATCAATAGTCCTAAAGAAGCTAATAACAGGGACGACCCTAGGGAAGATGCTTACTCATTCAGAAGCCAAACAAGATAGACATCAGTAGTAGGATAAGAAAAGGAACAGTACAGGATCCTTCCACAGAGGACCTCAGAAAGACTCTACCCAGAAGGTATCAAAGGAGATACTGAGACTCATTGCCAAATTTTGGGCAGAGTACTGGAAACCTTATGGAAAAAGAGAGAGATAGAAAGACCTGGAGGAGACAGGAACTCCACAATGAGATCAACAGAGCCATAAAACCTGGGCTGGGGGGGGGGGCTGTAAAAACTGATACTCCAACCAAGGACTATGCATGGAGATGGCTTAGATCCCATGCTCAGAGGAAGCCCATGGGCAGCTCCGTCTCTAAGTGGGTACCCTAATAAGGGATCAGGGGCTGTTGTCTCTGACATGAACTCAGTAGCCCACTCTTTGATCACCTCCCCTTGGGGAATGGAGCATTGACAAGCCACAGAGGAGCATGATACAGCCAGTCTTGATGAGACCTGATAGGCTAAGGTCAGATAGAAGGGGAGGAGGACCTACCCTACCAGTGGACTAGAGGAGGGATAGAGAGGAGAGAAGAGGGAGAGATGGTGGGAATCGGAGGAGATGAGGGAGGGGCTACAGTGGGGATACAAAGTGAATAACTGTAATACATAATGATAGCAATAATAAAGAAAAAATAAAAAATAATTTAAACTAAAAAATTATTTAAATTTCAAAAACACTACTTTCTAAAATGGTAAATCTACTAATAAATTTGAAAAACATACCTAATTCATTGATAATACTTTTACCTTTAGTGTTGTTGTAATGTTGTATTTTAGAACCACTTTCTGTGGATATGTTAGCATAACTAAAGAAGTTACCCATCAAAATTTTGATATGTTGTATTTTATTGTCTAGTTTTAATAGAGTACAATTCTATAATAGTTATAAAAAAGTTACTAGTAAGTTTCTATTCCAGATATTTATTTCTAGATATTTATTGTATGTATTTTAGTATAAATATCTGACATTTCTTTATTTATTGAATTCATTGTCTTTTTAAATGCTTATTAAACAATTTAAATTTAAACATTGATTTTATTTAAGAAAGAGAGGCAACAAACTTATGCATTAACCATCAAGAGATTAAAATTTGTGGCTGAGTCTAAAACTGAAAACCTGTCTATAATTTGAGAAACTAGTTTTTCTGCTATGGAGCCACAAATGCCCAATGTTTCCATTGGTAAAGTATCATAAAGACATTTACCTTGTGAAGTTATAAGACTCAAGTGGTCTTACAAGCCTGGAGTATTCATACTACCAGAGTTGAGAACGGATGCTCAGGATTTATTTATTCTTCTAATTAACCACATGCAACTATACAACTTTAAATTTTATGCTTTAAAATGGACTGCATGTTTATACAAATAGATGCATGTTTTTCAAATACTTACTTTATTATGTTGTTCATGGAATCTGGGTCATATGCTGTGACTTGTCCAATGATGCTTCCCTCCTTGACATCTTCATCCACTTCCATTAAGTATGAGAGCTTGCTGAACACAGGGGGCTCATCCACGTCTTCCACAGATATCTTAACCATGGCTGAGTCTTTGAAAGGTCCAAGGTGTAAGAATCGAGGATCAGGGTGGGTATTACTTGCGTCCACTCTTAAAGTGTACAACATTTTCTTTTCAAAATCTAAATTCTGAATTTAAGAATTCAGAAATAATATAAGAATGTAAAAAATGTAAAAGAATGTAAGAAATATTAGAATACACTGGAACACATAGCAATCATTGACAATATGCATGTTTAATAACCTCTTAAAAATTAATGTCAGCTATGGCTAGGTAACTATCCCCATTATTGCTTCATGATTTTATTCACAAAATAGTGCATTGACTTTATTCTTAGATAACCATCATGGAATATAATTATTTTGGAGTGCATAGTAAAGTAATTTCGGTTTGAAAATTCAGTTCAATTTTTCTAGGTACAGTTAAGTATTATTTAAATTAATACTGATTAAATTGCATTATTAAAGTTAAATATTATTAAAATCAGAAGATTGACTAAAGCATACATCTAGAATAAATTTGTATTTCATCATTTGAGTATCTTATGAAAAATAAAAACATGAAAGTAAACATAGTGAATATTAACAGTTACCAATCTTTACATTGTTGGAGGTCATTCTTATTCATGCTATCAAAAAATCAAGAAAATACATATAAATCAGACCATCTTGCATAGCACCCATTGATATTTTTACTACTAATCCTCAGGTAGAAGGTGTCAAGGTGAATCTAGTTCTTAGCACTTAATCTTGATTCACTCATTTTACATAAACCATCACACTTACAGTAAAAGATTTGAGAAATTTATGAAATAATAACAATGGGTGTGTGTTTATTGTTTGTTCCTTAGAGAAATGCAAAACAAGTACCCTAGAGCTTGCTCTGGGTCTGATTCTTTTCTGCAACAAGTGCAAACATTTGACTGTGAGTAGCAGCATAACTAAGAAGAATGATGTATAACTTATTTGAAGTGAACTATATTTTTGTACTTTCTGTGAATGATGGGCAGCAAATAAAAGATGATGAAAAATAGATCCATAGTAGTTTTTCTCTGTGCTGAAAAGCAAGGATAAGCTAAAGAGCACTTAGTGAAGATAGAAAGACAGCCGAGAGAAACCTGTTTGACAGTTATGATCCCTTCCTGTGTATCTTTGTCAGTGATCACATCAAACATGTCTGAGCCTTCTCCTTCTGAAATGCTATATTCCAGCTCGGCATTCTCTCCTGTGTCAGGGTCATTGGCTTTTATCCTTCCAAGATGGGTTCCAAGAGGTGCAGACTCCAGAGAATTAAATTGATAAGTGCCTGTAAATTAAACCATAGCTTTCTTTACTTTCAACTTAGGATGACACAAATTTTCAATTTCCCTCTAAGTAAAATGACTCAAATTGAGAGACATTTTCATCATATTGAATTGAATGCTGTCAAAGTTACAGAATTGTGGAGTGGAACAATACTGTATAGATAATTACTGGAAATATTTTAAAAATGCATGTTACTTGAAGAGCAAGTGGAAGACTATGTGAATCCAGAACTTCTTGTCTAACAACAATGAAAACCGGTTGTTAGTTACTTGATTATGACTTTAAATATTGTCAACACCCATTTTAGATGCACTTAGAATAAAAGAAGATAGGTGAATTTTTTTAAAATAATGAAGTATCCATTATTTGAGATCTGTAAACAAAATTTTGAAGCATCAAAGTCTTTATTATAGTTGTTATGTATTTTACTTTTGATGTCCTTCAATAGCATAATTTCTCTGTCCAATACAGACCCAGCAATGCATCTCACTCTGTACTTCTGTTAGAACAAGCATATTATTTGCAAACTGTTTATAAATATCTACATAAAATAATTTATGAAATTAAATGCGGCAGCTGGGCAAATTCCCTGTAATAGCTTATTTAGTCCTCACAAAGAAGCAACTCTGGTAAATTATTTTCAGTGTACAAAACAAAGAAAATTATCTTGCTGAATTGTGAAAAAGATAATACAGAGCTCAGTCTATCTTCAAAGTCTATTGTCTTCCCAGGTTTTTTTCTTGTCTGTGTGGTTAAGAAAGGCAGGTTTGAAGTCTCACAGTAGGATTTTATATTCAATTCTCTAAACTTTAATGTCAGGTCCTAGTCCATGAAACAAAGAAAAGTATGATATCAATTAATATAAAAATTTATTTTGAGGAATTCATGCCTCTATATCTGTAGTCAATTAAGATCATCGTACAGACCTCTGCATTTTATCACTATTATAGTGGATACAAATTGTCTGTTAACATTCTAACAGATAACAGAAACTTCAGTCTGATAATTCATTCAGTTATAGACTTACTTTGTATATTTATTAAAAGTTAAAAATTCCATAATTGTTTTTTATTCCTGGTAAGACTACCACACTTTACAGGGCAATATGCCTCATATAATGAAAAGAAAAAGAAAAAAGCTACAACAGATAAAAAGACTTCAGGAATGTACACCTAATTGACAGTACATCGCATTAATCAACAGCTGCACTTTTTGCAAGCTGTGACAGTACCGAACAAGAAGGGTTCCCTGTTTAAGATGCAGCAACTTTTCTGATTATGAGTTATCGTTCCCCCCGTGGCAGATTTTTACAGTTCCTCTAATGCATTTGCGATGACTATTTCTAAGCAACCTGCAGCTTTTCTGACAACTCCCTGCTCTCTCTTCTGTTAAAACTGCAACTTTTTCCTGCTGTTTTTTTTTTTTTATTATTTTATTTTTTTTTTTTTATCTCCTGCTCTTATATCCACCACTTCCACCACCAGATTCATAAATACCACCATAGGGACTGCCTGAGCTTTGTCTTCCAAAACTGCCCCCCTTCATGGGTCCATAATTTGATTGCTGTTGTCCACTATCATTTCCAGAGTTATTATGTTTCCCACTACCACCATAGTTACTGCTACCAAAGTGTTCTCCTTCTTTGTATCCATCATATTCTCCTTTCCTCCACTATATCCACCACGTTGTTTTTCATATTCTGGTCCACCACCACCATTGCCTCCTCTACTACTTTAGCCACGACCACCACTATGATTGCCACAGTCACCTCCAAATCCATTATATCCACCATCCCACCTCCACACGGGAAAGTTTAGGTGACAACCGGAAGATGGCTTACTCTTTTTCGAGTTTCAGTAAATTACATAACACTATAATTTAATATGTTGTTACATAGTAGGTGATTTCAATATTAGTAAGATATGGTAATCAAGTTTTCGTGACTTTTTAAGTAAACTAAAAGAATATTAAAATGCTGCCAATTTAACCCACAAGCATTGCTGTAAATATAGATCCTGTTTTCAGAGATGGTAAAACATCCAATCTGTGTTTTAAGAATCATTAAGTGAAAGCTTATAACGCTTGTTTATAAATTAGCCAAGAGTTGTGAACAATGTAGACAGTGAATGTAAGCAGGCAGACTTCCGCGCCCACATCCCTGCCCACGGTGGTCAGAAGAGAGGTGGGATCGCAACAGTGACTGTGAAGATATCAGCTTGCCACGCTTTCTGGCTCATCAAAAGCAAGCAAAACAATCACATTGCAAAAGAGTCCTTTTTTTTTTTTTTTTCTTTTTTCTTTTCTTTTTATATAGGTTCAGTGGTAAATAACATCTCTTCTTAATACCTGGAAATTTCATCTTTTTCTTTTTAGGAAAGGTGCATTGATTTGCTCTCAGCAAAGGGACTACGAGTGCAGAAACTAAGTTCTGAAGCATTTCCGGTGCATTTGGTAATGTTTCAGTTACATTCTCAGTGCAGACTGCCTTACTTTGCGGAAACCGAGGAGGGTTGTTGTTGACATCTGTGAGGGTGATGTTCACGGTCGTTGTTCCAGAAAGGCCTCCCATCTGGCCGCCCATGTCCTTGGCCTGGATAACCACTTGGTACTGCTCTCTGTTTTCTCTGCTCATGTCTGGCAATGCAGTTTTTATGATGCCTTTAAAAAATTAAAAAGGAAAACACTGGCTTTTTAAATAAATATCTTGCAATACCCATTCTTTGGAAGATAAATGGAGAAAATGAAAATTGTCTACCATTAATTTCATGTAACTCACAGAACAGAAATCATTCTTTTTTTGTGAATTTTAAAAAAATTTGGTCATTTGACTTTGCTTAATTTTAATAACCATTATGTTCTTCTTTAATTTTTGAGTTATTTCTTTATTCTGCAAATTATATTAATCTCCGTGAAGTCTTGTAGTCTCTTAAATTAAAACCCAATTAATAGTTAAAAGGTTTTGTTAATGGAAGGATGTTTGTTTGGTTTCATTTTCAAAAAATAACTGTAGGAAGCAACGATACAAAACTGAATGGATAAATAAATAAACAAACAAACAAACAAACAAACAAGTGTGTGTTTTGTGTGTCAGGTTATTACATAAGATGAAATAGTCTAAGAAAGGCATGACTGCATTTACCTGATTCTGGGTCCACTGAAAAGTACGGCTGCCCCTGCAGGATGCTGTAGACCACTTTGGCGCTGTTCCCGTAGTTAGCATCATCCGCATCAGTGGCAGTCACTTGAATAACAGAGGTGCCTGCATCCCGCCCCAGCCCAGGCAGAGGCACGTTAACTCCTCTAAACATTGTACTATTTTAAAAGCCATTTTTCATTTATTATTTTCTTAAATGACAAGTAATCCCAGATTTACTCTTCACTAGGCAAGCTATGAAAATATATAATGTATTTATCATAAAGCTAAATATAACTTAATGAATTGGAAATTTAATTAATAGAAATATTGTGACGAGGAAAGTCCTCACTAAATATAAAAACGTCAAGTTTTCAATTAACGTATTTACTGCTAAATGAGAAGACACAAAAATATTTCAACATTTTGAAACTTACTGCTATTCTTACATTAGTGAGTTGTGATTATAAACACAACAAAATATAGAGGTCTTGCTGTGAAGAAGCAAATGTACAAGCAAAAAATTAATATTGTAAAATATCAGGAGGCTTGAGTTCAAACATCAGAACTGAGCACAAACACCAGCAAAAAAGAAGAAAGGAAAAGAACTATATTTTTTCTGTGTACATACTATCAGACATTTGCTGTGACTTGTAAATCTAAAATAGTAACGAATTATTTTATAATCAATTTTTAATACATTTTAATTAATTAATTAATTCTTAAAAGTTAATTTATAAATTTTATATTTCTTGTATTACCTATTTCATTTGATACTGAAAGGAAGATAATTTAAATCTTTAAATTGTAAAGCTAAAGAAAATATTCTATCTTACTTTAACACTTTTTAATGTTTTCTTGAGGTCATTGGTTTTGTTTCCATTGGCTTTCTTCAGAGTGCCCATAGGAAACAGACCAAGCTTCTTTAGGTTTGGTTATGCATTAAGGGAGGATATAACACATGCCCGTGAAACTCCTTTCAGTCCGGGAAGCTCACCTGTTCACTCCTACGCTTCTGCACATTCTACGTGAGAATCAAGAGAGACTAATGCTCCCCTTCCTAAATATTTGTGCTTTAGGGATATCAGAAAGGAACACGGTGATTTCAAACAGCGTAGTGGAAACAAGAAAGTCTTTTACTTAGATGTGGAAAATTAGTCTTCTTATATTAGATGTAAGGTTATTTATTTATTTGTTTATTTATTTTTCTCTCTTTGAAGTATAAATTCTCTTCAGACCTAAAAATGTGGGATGCTATTCAATATTACGGCACGAAATCAAAGTTTCTAGAACCATGTCATAAGCTTTCCATAGAATGATTATAGTAGGCTTAGCAGATTGGCAGGAGTTCGTTTGTATTAAAACTTAATCCTCCTGGCACATGTAGGACATATGCCTTTGGGCCACATATCACAGATCCAGTAAGTGACAAGAAGAAAATTAGAACTAGCTAGTCTGAGTAAATACTACCCATTCTAAATGAATTTTCCCATAGACTGCAAGGGGTATCTTCTTGATGCCATAGACAGTGAGCCTTTTTAATAAAGGCCTCAATTTGCACAGGAAATAATCATAATTTGAATTAGTTTTGAACTGAAGTACCAAGGAATGCTAGCTTTAAATTTCCTTCAGTCTGGTGGACTGGAAAGGTCTGGTGGAACACAAGGCAGATCATATTTAGGACATGCAAAAAATATATTTCTCAAACTCAAATACTACAGAAGAGAAAGCCTGAGGGAAAATTAATGCAAAAGTAAATCTGATAATTACTAAAAATTGCATAAGTGAAGGTTTTAAAAAAACATTTAAGTCTTTATATTGTTTTATATTAAATAAATAATGGTACAATATGTACTTCTATTTAATATAAGAAGATATCTGAATTGAGCAGATACATGATAAGAACATAATTGAATATGGAATAGTAGTACATTAAATAGCAAAGAATATTTATCAGAAAGGGTAGAGGGAGCAGAATATTATATGAGATATCAGGATATTTTTATGAGAAAAGAATTTATTTCAATAACGGAAAGAATGTAAATGTTTCAAAGTAAATATCAATATAATTTAATAGAGAAATATTCTCTTACTTTATTTTTGTTTTATGCATATGGGTGTTTTCCCTGCAGATATGTCTGTGACCACATGTGTGACAGGTTTCTCAGAACAGCATGGGAGGCCATCAAATGCCCTGGGACAGGATTTACTGATAGTGACAAGCACCCTTGTGGGTATTGGGAATCAAATTCAGGCCCTCTAAAAGAGGACCCCAAGTTCTTCTTCCTGAACCATCTTTTCATGCCCCATTCTGTTACTGCAAAAGAAAGTAAAGATGGAACCATTTGGTACAAAAGTATTTAGAAATGTGTGTGTGTGTGTGTGTGTGTGTGTGTGTGTGTGTGTGTGTTTGTGTATATGTGTGCCTGTGTTTGTGTCTGGATGTGTCTGTTATATCTGTCTGTGTCTCTCTGTGTGTGTCTGTGTGTATGTATGTCTTTGTATGTATTTCTCTCTCTCTGTAATTCTGTGTGTCTGTGTATGTGTGTCTCTGTGTATGTCTGTGTTTGGGTCTGTGGGTGTGCATGAAGTGTGTGTCTGTGCAAGTATTTGTCTCTGTGTGTGTGAATGTTACTATGTGTTTTTGTTTGTGTGTGTGTGGTATGTATATCTGCCTGTGTGTGTGTCCCTGAGTGTGTATGTATGTTGGTCTCTGTGTGTGTTTGTCTGTCTCTCTGTATGTGTGTTTTATTTGTTCATTTTTTTCTGTGTCTCTTCACCTGTGTCTATCTGTGTTTTTTGTGTATTTGTGTTTCTGTGTCTGTCAGTGGCTGTGTTTGTGTCTGAGTGTCTATATATGTGTGTTTGTGAGTTTTTCTGTGTGTGTCTAAGTGTCTATGTGTGTGTCTGGGTGTTTGTATGTTTAAGGGTGTATCTGTGTTTTCATTTGTGTGTGTCTGAGTATCTCTGTGTGTGTATGTATGTGTGCCTGTATATGGGTTTCTATGTGAGTATGTGTCTGTGTCTTTGTATGAGTGTCTATGTATGTGTGTGTCTGTTTGTGTGTGTGTCTGTGTGCCTCCATGTATGTGTGTTTTTGTAAAAACAATTAATGAAAAAAGGGGCCATCAATTTGGAAAAGACAAAAAGGGTACATGAAAATGTTCTAAGAAAATTAAGGAAATGGAAATGATGTAATCATACTATAATCACAAATTAGTTAAGTATTTTTAAAAAGAATGAAATAATATTATAAAAGCTTAAAATATATGAAATAAATAGCTATGATCAATTTTTAATAATTGAATATTTCTGTCTTATTAATCATATTTATTATATTTCTAAGTGTGGAAAACCTATGAAAATACAAATAAGAGTAAAATAATTTGTAAAGTAACATATCAAAATAATGTTTTTCAAAAGTTAAAGGATATAACCATATCAATGCAAAATTGATAACTTATCCAGTGATCATAATTTTACATGTATTTTATTCTCAAATGTAAGTTCATAAAAATGACACCTCAATTACTTTAATATCAGGGATATATAGATTAATCCAATTAATTATAACAGTCAAAAGTTATTAGAACATTGAAGAAAATGCATCTACTCTGTTAAACAAGGGCTTTATAATCTCAAAGGAGTCTTGTCTTTTAGGATGAATTCATTTTCATTTTTTAAAATAATTTTTATTTTTTTATATTAATCACAGGTTATTTACTTTGTATCCTAGCCATAGCCTGAGTGAAAACTGAAGAGATAATAGAAGATCAGTTTCCTCAAATAGGTGAGCTTACATGAGATGACAACTTCTTCACAAATTCTTGCTTCTTCTGAATATGCACTCTATATCGTTAAAAAGCAGTTATGCCATACTCAGTAAAGATAACAATATTTATTATTCCTAATAGAAGTATCTTTAGTCAAACATGCATTATTATAGTATATGTATATTGACCAAGTGCATATCTTACATATCTTATATATTTAATTAGTATTATATCAGTAGAATTTTAAAACAATATTTGCTCATTGATGAAATTAAATGTAGTGACACACATGCAAGCAGCAATTTTGTACATAAATGAATAGTTCCTGAAATTGGGAGAATCTTAAAACTGTGAGAAATGACTCTTCTCAGTTTGCGCGGAACGCCAAAGACCAGTAAGGTAAAATACACAGATATGCAGTGAAAATCTGTGAATCTTAGCGTGATGCCACAGGTTATTTGATCTTCATTCAGCTGTTAAATCCCTCTGAATTGTGCGTTCCTGTTTAACAGGTTGAACTGTAAAGTTATATATCCCATACTTCCAAAATAAGTGGGTTTACTTTTTTTATGATTAAATGAGCCAGTTATGTTTGACAAACTACTCATTTGTCAAATACAACAGTTCCCCTTTTCAGTTTAAAGTAAGAAGAGCTTCTCATACTTAACCCTCCCTCCTCAGGCAGCAATGCATTCTACAGGACATTTAGTCTAAATCACAGAGCAGTTGTTGGTCCCAGAGGAATAAAATAACTACACTCAGTGAGTTGTAATTAAAAGACATAGGGGAGGAGGTCCTCCCCTATAATTGGACTAGGGCAGGAGCATAGGGGGAGAAGAGGGATGGAGGTGGGACCAAGGAAGTGATGAGAAAGGGGACCACAGCTGGAATACACAGTGAATAAATTGTAATAAACAAACAAAAAAAATAAATAAATACATAGATAAATAAAATATTTCGAGAGGAGTTGTTTGATGAAAATAAGAGCTTCTGGACACAGCTCTGGTTTTGAAAGAAGAGAACATATAATCACATTCCTGTAAAATTTTCAGTAAAAGTATGAGAGCAAACATACTATGTACACAGTTAGTAGATACCTACCAACTCCAGACATTTCGGGAACACTGGCTGTGTACAAATCTTTTGTGAATTTTGGTTCGTTGTCATTGATATCATGGATTTTAATGATAAACTCAGATTCCGGCTCCACTTGCCTTCCAGTCTTTCTGTCTATAGCCTTGGCACGAAGAATGTACAGGGATTTTTCTTCTCTGTCTAATTTCTTTGCAGCGTGAATATCTCCTGTGTTTTCATCTATAACGAACAGATTACCAGCCCCATCTCCTGTCAAAATGTATTTTAAATTTCCGTCTCCTTTATCTTGGTCAGTGTGGAGCTTCAAAGAGGTAGAAAATAATAATTCTGTAAATATATGGTAGTTATTACAGTGAAAACAATTTCATATGTACTAATTTCTCCTCACATTGTACTTTTTCAATGATGATCTGAACAAGCATGTCAGATCAAGGAGAAACTCAGCACTTCAGATTTTCTCTTAAAATATTAAACAAGTATAGTCACCATGAGATAATGGATTTAGGGTAAATGATACTTGAGTTGTTTCAAAACATAGAGGTTAAAAATGTACTTTTGAACAGAATATTACCAAAATTTAAACCTCTATTGCATTATAAAGGAGAAAAATAAATTCTTCTCATCTTGTTTGAAATATCAATCTTCATTGTATCTTAAAAATTAAACACAAATATTTAACATGAGACATGTATTGTAATGATTACTATAGAATTAATTCTTTAGTTTTAACTAGTGTTCTCTCCTGTCCATATAAGTCTATGAAAACTTTGCCTCCATATTTATAGAAATCAACCAGAAAGAGAAAGAATTTTAAATATTATATTCTTTTCAATATAACTCTAAGAAAGCACGTTTTCTATTACCATGTTCTGATTGTGAGAAATGATCTTCTTTATAATCTTTTTAAATTTCCAGTGATACCGAACAAGTGGATATATGTCTGTTTACATACCATATCTTAATAAAAATAATTTGCTCTAGTTGATATTTATTCTATAAAAGTAACTTCTCATAACAAACAAACAAACAAACAATCTTATGATTGGATTGCAATTCGCTTGTAAAAAAATGCTTAGATGACCTTAAGATGAATCTCAAATACTACAGTAATAATGATGATGAATTATAAATAATAATTTTAATATATAGAATATAAACTATCAAGAATTTATAACAAATGGAGTACATAATCACAGCCCTTCTGAATTGAATGAAACATTTATTTTAACAACAATAACAGTATATTCTGAATCTGTGGTTAATTGTTTAAGGAGAAATAATTTCATCTCTGTATACTGGCACAATATCATCATTTAATAAATGGATAATGTGGATTGATCAAACCAAAATACTTTATACATTGCTCTCTCACAGTTTATTATACATTGGTGAAAAAATACACAGAAGAATGGGTGAGAAACTGTGATATTGACCCTAGGATATAATCTTCAGTTTAGCAGAGTGATATTTTGGGCTATATTGTACAGAGTAAAATAATATGTTTAAATATATGATTTATTTCAAAATTGCTAAAAGAGCACATTTCAAATAAAATGTTTGTCTGACCTGGCCTCTCCCTTTCACGTTTTCCAGCATGCACCTCACAAATCCTATTCTAAGCTGTCTGACTCCATCTTCTGAATCTAACTCTCTATTTTCCATTTGAATTCTTTCTTCCAGAGCTAAGCATAAACATGTTTCATCTTTTCTTCTCTTTTGCTTTAAACTCCGTAAAAAGTAATCACCACATGTGACAGTTGCTTTTTTCTCTGAAATATCTTATAGAATCCATTTCAATTGTTTGACTAAAACTAGATTTTTTTTCTTCACCACATTTTATCCAGTACAAAGCAGCAATCTCATGGTAGTTCCCACTCCTGTCTCAGTACAACTATACATTTTTTTTCACACTAGAGAAAGTAACTTTTCTAGAGTATGAATACAACCATGTGAGAAATTTCAAAGAAGGTACAATGAATGTTTAAAGAAAGTAATAAAACACATTAAAACACAGGTAGTAACATGCAAATATTTGAGACCAGATGGATTGGTATATAATGTTCTTTTAAAAATTTCCTAGTTAGATCTGGAGAGGACAGGAGGTCCACAAGGAGAGCAACAGAACCAAAAAAATTTGAGCACAAGGGTCTTTCCTGAGACTCATACTCCAACCAAGTACCATGCATGGAGATAACTAGAACCCCTTCACAGATGTAGCCCATGGCAGTTCAGTGTCCAAGTGGGTTCCATAGTAATGGGAACAGGGAGTGCTTCTGACATGAACTGATTGGCCTGCTCTTTGATCACCTCCCCCTGAGGGGGGAGCAGCTTTACCAGGCCACAGAGGAAGACAATGCAGCCACTCCTGATGAGACCTAACAGAGTAGGATCAGAAGGAAGAAAAAGAAACCCTCCCCTACCAGTGCACTTGGGGAGGGGAGTGTGTGGAGAAGGGGGAGGAAGGGAGGGACTGGAAAGGGAGGAGGGAGAGAACTAGAGGGGGGATACAAAGTAAATAAAGTATAATTAAAAAATAAATTAATTAAAAAAATAAAAAATATTTAATACTATTACTTTATTCTATCAAATTGGATAATATTAATTTTAAAAAATGTTTATATCTACAGTCCTAGTAGTAAGTTCTTGGTGGTTGTATTCTTTCATGTACAACATTGATAATCTCTTTTTTATTTAAAAAAATATCTTTGTCACTTTGTACTTACCCAGACATATACATCTAACAGTTTGTTCCCCTAAGACTTTTACCCATTTTCATATATAATGTTTGCATGTTTCGTTCTCTTTTTAATACTCTTCCATCTCTTCTGAATTGTCCCTCCTGGAAGGATACGATTGTGACTCTAGCTGAGACTCCTAACCCGGGAACATGAAGACTGAAGTGACCATCTCCTAGCCAGGAAGGACTAGAGAAAGAAGGGGAACAACAACCCACTGACAAAATCTGTGAACCAAAAATTATCCTGCCTACAAGAATTACAGGGAAAAAGAGGGGGAAAAAAGATTAAAGGAATGTCCAACCAATAACTGGCCCAAACCGAGATCCACCCCATGGCAGAGAGCCAGCCCCTGACACTATTAATGGCAGGAGCCTAATTTGACTGTCCTTTGATAGTCTTCACGCAGCAGCAGCAGATTGAGACAGATGCTGGGACTTGCAGTCAATCATGGACAGAGCTCTGACGGACCCTGTGGAAATTTTGGGGGGAAAGATGGAAGGACCTGGAACAGACAGGAACCTCACAAGGAGACCAACAGAGACAACTAACCCAGTCCCATGGGTGCTTTCAGAGACTGGGACATCAACTAAGGAGAATGCATGGTCTCGACCTAGGCCCCCTGCACACATGTAGCCAATTGGTCTTCATACAGGGAATAGGGTGAGTGGAAGATGGAGGGTCTGTTTCTAACATGGATTCTATTGCCTGATTTTGGATCACTTCCCCCTGGCAAGGATGACTTGCCTTCCCTTAGGGGATGAGGATATGCTCAATCCTGATGTGACCTCCTGTGCTGAGGGGGGTTGATACTATGGAAGGGAGGCCCAATTTTTCTGGGGAGGAAAGGGAGAGAGGAAAGGGAAAGAGAGGAAGGGAAGGCTGGAAGGACAGGAGGGAGGGGGCACCCATAGGATATAAAATAAATAAACTGAATATTTTTTTAAAGTGTCTGTCTTCTTCATTTTTTTTTTTTTGCATTTGCATTTGCTCCCTAGGGATAGTTTCTTTAATTCAGTAACTTAGAATGGATGGATAGGCATAGAAATTCATAGCACAAAACACATTCCATTATAATACCAGGCTGAATAACTTTTGACTGTTCAAAACTAATGCTATAGCATGTTAAAGAAAGATTGATACATATGTCTGCTCACCTAAAATATGTTTACAAAAGCCATGTTACTCTATATTTTATACAGTGTACTTTTTAGGTACATACAGAAAATTCATCTATTAGTCATTATAAGTAAAATAAGATCATGAAAAAAACTACATATAAATTGAAATTACATTTCAGAGAAATAAAGATACAAGTAAAATTATTTTAATGATAATCTTTTTAAAATATTCATAATATTTTTTCTGTTTATTTAACTGTTACATTCTATTAACATGAGATGATATTTTAGCAAAAGAAAATATTTCATGAAAAAAACAAGAAAGGCAAAGCAATAATATGTACCAAACATGTTAATTTGGTAAAAATTGCATAATTAACTAAAAAGTTCACTTTGTTGATTTTATTATATGATTATATTTTGATCTCTTCTTATTTCAAAGTTATGTTATTTATTTGTAAACATAGATGTAAATCTATTTTTTCATCAACTAAACATTTTAGTAAGGCAGTATACTTAGTATTTTTAATTGAATATTATAAAATATATTAGAAGGTACAAATACTAATGGTAATTATTTAAGGTTTTTTTTTCTTCCATTTTGGGTAAGGTGGACTTTTTATGTTTTAAGAGTAAATTGTGCTAATTTCTTATAATGGAAGCGAGAAGAAATGAGGAGCTGTATATAAATTTTAAAATGAGATGTTTTCTTTATACTTTTCACATGTTTTCCAAAAGAATGAAATATGAGAAATTTGTGAAATTTTGTTGAGTACATTGTCAAACATATTCTTACACCAAGAGTCTAGAAACGAGGCTGTGGAGTCATGTGGTGAAAGAAAGAAAAAGTACATCATTTCGAAGAAATCTACCCAGTACTGTCTTATAGAAATTACTTATTTGCAGCTAAAACACGAGAAAGAAGTCTATAACAGGGCAATATTCTCAACAAAAGCATTAAATATATAAACATGAATTAAAAAATAGTTTTGTTCCTCTAAACTTCCCTATAATGTACACTGTGTTTAAAACAACTGAACAAGTATAGAACTCTCTGAAGTTTTGTATTTCAGAAATAATTTTTTTCTGGTATACTGATATTTTAAAATATGGGAAAAAAAACAGAGTATAATTTTTGTATTCAGCTAGATATGATTCTATTTTTGTTTAGATTCATTTTTATACATTTATTTAAAAATTTTTCATTTTGTCATGTTTTCCACTTTTAAAAATCCTAGAAATTTGTTAAATTTGGACTTCCATTGGAGTTATACTACTTTATTACTTTACTTATTTAATTGTACACTTTGCAATAATAAGTATTTTGAATATTAAATTTAAAAAAGTTAGGACAAAGAAAAACTGAAATATTCATGGGGTTAAAGATATAGAACAGGTCTTATCAAGACTGTCTGCATTGTCTTCTTCTGTGGCCTGGTAAGGCT